ATAACCAGCATATTTGAATGTCAAATAACATTCCGTTTGGGTTCAACAAAAATCTCTTAAAAATTTGTAGGAAATTCAAATAGTCTAATATTCATAAATAAATAACAATACCATATTGTAGTTTTTTTTAAATCTCCATTTATGCTATTTTCCATTTATTTTCTTTAAATATTAATATTTTATTTTAAATTTATAACATTTGTTAAAAAAATAAATACATAATAAAACAATTTAAAAATTAAATCAATCATTATTCAATTCTTACAAAAAAAAAAGAAAATAATTAGGTAAAGATATGTTTTGTTTTTCAATTTGTCCAGAGTCAATCATTTAAATCAATTTAATTTAACATATAAATTAATTTAATTTAAAAAATACAATGATTTTTTATTTTATATTATTTCCTATAATTTTTTATTGTTGAAACATTCCATCTACCATTCAAATATAACAAGCATATTTGAATGTCATATGACATTCCGTTTGGGTTCAACAAGCATATTTAGAATCCCTTAAAGGAAATTCAAATAGTCTAATATTATAAATAAATAAATAACAATACCATATCTATGTGCCAGATAGAATACAAGATATTTAATCTTCATTTGTGCTATTTTGCATTATTTTTTTAAATATCAATATTGTAACATCTCATTTTTAATAGTAAAATATTACTAAAATGAATATTACGTGTATATGATGATGGAACCATTATAGGAAAACAAATCTACGAAAGATAAGATCTATACCTTTAGAATCATCTGACTTCTCAATTGTTTTACTCTCACCTCTCCCTAAAGTAACTGTAAAGAACATCTCCCTAAGCTTACATTATTAAGGTGATCATCCAAAGAGAAAACATACACAAAGACAAACAACAAAAAAGTAAGGATAAGTTAAAGTACCAAAAGAATATACATACATTTTTAAAACAATAGTAATACACATTCATATTATAACTCAAACAACACATAACATAATTCCCATCAACCTTGAAAGTCCCAAACTATCTGGATAGATGCATCGATGTAGACTCATGGGAAACCTATACCCGTGTATGGTGCAACAACTTGCTCAAAAATAATAATAATAACCACATCTCAACCACCACTAATAATGTCATACACTAAGGTTAATCCGTCAAACATCTATGGCCAAAACCAGTTACCATAGACTATACCCATCCTGCTACTCTCAACGACATAATCACTCATCTCTATATGAGATGAGGTTATTGAGAGTATCAGAATCATTCCCAATCCCGGAACCCCTACTTCAATACATTACCAACTTAGGATATTCTTCCTCGGAATTCCTTTCTCACATAGTACTTAAAATCCACACCTCACATATTATTTGAACATCATCATCATATCTCATACATAATCATATTCATATACATATACTTCACACAAACATTGCATATTATCACATGAAACCTCTTATTACACATTAAACAACCAAAAACACCATTATAAGTCATCAGAAGTCACATAATAACACATTTTTTCTTTATAGCATATTGATACCCTAGGTAAGGAAAATAGCTTAGAAACCCTCACTAGCCGCTCCGGAAAGGTTTGAAACCCCTAAAATGACCTAAAGAACGTTTAAAACTGATATCCAGAACCTTAAAACCCCTCATCCCAAAACTGGTGTAGTGATTGTCAGGGGCACCTAGTGGCGCCCGGGTGCCCAGGGGTTGGCGCTCAACGCCCTGACCACTGAAAATGGGCACTCAGGCATTATCAACAAACCCCAATGCTTTATAGACCACTTGTACACTTCTCCCACAACTTTGAAAGGTTCTTAAGACCTTCTAAACCCTCTGAAATTTGGTCCCTAACTCAAAATGACTACTTCAAACCAACTTACTACCTTAAACCATACCAAAGTCAATTCTATACTTTTCGATACCCAATTTCTGTAACTAGCAGCTGGAACAAGTCCTAATAGACTTAATAACAGGTTACAAACCCTCACCTTTAGCCTTGACCTTCTAGTTTACAATCTCACTAGTTAAAACCCCTAAATTACACATAAAACCATGCAACCACACCCTCACAACTACTCTACTGCATAATGCATCACATTTTATTGGTTTTAACACTTCCACAAGTCTTAATTAATCAAAACATCAACTTCAAACATTAGGCTTCTCTCCAAAACCACTCCTTTAGAAATTTACTACTCAAAACCCCCCTATTTGACCAAAAACATGCAAAGACTCTCATCTTTCACTACCTTAAGGTTCAACAGAAATTCTCTAGTCAATTATAACATCAACTTCACCATTTCAAGCAATCAAAATAGACATAATCAACAAACAACTTTAACAAAGCGCTTTTAATATCATATAAATCATTTTCTAATCAAATTCACACAATCATGCCATAATACAACATAATTTCAACAAGCTCAATTCATCAATTCAATTAATCATACCAACTCATATTATCAACATACTTAAAACTTAAAAACAAGGTATTCAACTTCCCTTACCTCTTAGAAACTACAATTAGCTCTAGAGAACCTGACTTTGCTCCCTTAGCTCAAAGAGACCAAATAACACCTACAAACCACGAAAACATGATTAGGATATACCATTAGAACCACTGATTAGTAGAGTACCTAAGAGAAAGATCAAACCTAAAATGCGCCAGAGAAAAATCCTACATGCATTAGAAAAAGCCAAACTAGAGAAAAGAGTATATTACTCTATTTGAGAAATTGATCGGGTAGATTTAAAGATCTCACTGCGAGGATCACACAGGCGACTTCTAATCTTCAAACAGATGAACAAGGTGTAAGAACCCTTAGAGAGAAAATAAAAAACTTTGGAAAAGTGGTTTCTAGAGAAGTAATGGTGTTTCAAAATAATGAAACTTGTTTATAACAATTCCTTTTATATTAAAATAATAGAGTCTCATTATTTTTATCTCATTACCACTTTTAAAAATACCGTTTTATATGTCTTCAAAAAAAAATTATTTTAAATATATAACATTTGTAAAAAAATTGAAATACACAATAAAATAATTTAAAAATTAAATAAATCATTATTCAATTCTTACCAAAAAAAAAAGAAGAAAAGAATTAGGTAAAAATATGTTTTGCTTTTCTGTCTAATAATACTGTTAGAGTCAATTATCATGTATATCCAATATATTAAAAGTATTATCTGTTTTGAAATCTTATTCTTCACCATTTTATTTTAAAAAAATATTTTAAAAGATAAAAGAGAAAAAGAAAACATTAACTATCTTAAGCCTTAATTCTTAACGTGAATCTATTATACGTGTTAAAAGTATATAATATAATATAAAATTTCCAGCAAGAAAGATTGGTCCTCAATCTGAAAGTTTGAATGTGACCAAATAAAAGTCTAGGTGCATCTCAATAATTCAATTCTCAAACGTGTTTTTTTCAAACATTATTCTTTTCTCAATTCTGTTCCGCCACAAATCCCTAATGTCACAGTGCTTAGTTATTAAATTCCACTTGACGTAAATAAATAAACTAACTCAATTCTTATTTTATAATAATTGGAACCCTCATTGCTTTAACTAATTATTAACTAATTAATTAATCATTAACTAATTAATTAATTATTAATAATTAAGGACCTACCCTTGTGGCTAACACACTGACACGTGTAACTTCTTTTTTGTCTTTGCATCAAATTTTCAAACTTTTTAATAAATTAATAAATTTAAGCATTTTGTATTATTTCTTTGGTCTTTAGTGTAAAAAGAAAAAGATTTGTGTAATTATATAAAATTTAATTTTTAAGTTATTCTTGCCCGTGATTAAAACTTAACATTTAAGTATATAAAAAAAGTTTTTTTACAGAATAAAAAATATGTTTAAATATATTGTTATTGACAAGTTATTACAACAGTTTTCTGTTAATAAATTTACAAACTCGATGATAAATTATTGTTCAGTAAAAAATTATATCAAATTTTAAAACCGTTATTTTAATGTAAAAAACGTCATTCCATAAAAAAATTGAAACTCTGACGGATTTTTAGTGTCATAATTCAAAATATTAATATTAATAATAAAAGGAATTAAAGTAATAATTAAAAACCAATTTAATTGATTCATTATAGTTTTTAACTCATCGAAACCAACTTTAATGAAATTAAAATGAAGACTTAATTTCGTTTTTACTACTAAAATCGAACACTTTTCAATTAAAAAATTATACTTATTTTATAATCCAATATTTGACCATCAATAACTCATGATCAAATTTGGACCTTAGTAACTTAGTGAGTTAACTTAACTTGCTTTGTTTATTAGCGAGTCGAAAAAATTTAAACTCGATCAATTGATCACGGATTAATAGATTAAACGAGTTTGTTTACTAAACTTTTTTTCAAATTCTTATAAGAAGTGTTTTTATAGATTAAATTGAAACGATAATAATTATACTAATTGATATAGAAAAGAATATTTGAGTTGTAATGTTTTTTTCATTAAATAATTAATTTATTTTATTTAATTAAAAAGGGTTGTGAGCCAATACGACTCACCACAGATTGAATCCGAATAAACCGAGTCAAAATTGACTTACATTAAAACTTCACATTTTTTTTAATCCAACCAGTGATTAGTTGGGTTGGCTCATGGGTTTCAACCCATTTTCACAACACTATTTTTAGACACACAATTTTGCTAATAAATATTAATATTAGTAATTAATAATTAACATTGAAATCTAAACTAGTTTAATAAATTGCTTATATTATATCCAATCAATTAACATCTCTTAATAGTTAATTTTATTGAAAGTTTTTGATTGGTGTGAATATATTAATATTAATGGGTATTGAGAATCTTGAATGAAGATAAAAGGAAAGGGAAAGGGAAAAAACGTGGTGAAGTTTTCCCCACGTCTCTACTAACCTTAATTACATAATTTTTTGGTTAAATTAATTATTGAATGGTGATGATGTAGATTATGGGTCCCATTTTATAATTTCTGTAGTTTCCTTAATTTCTCAAAACCATAGCATTCATTTTTGAATTCGCATTTGCGTTCTCATTCATCGTCTAAACCATGCGCCACTGCGACTGCATGCTCTGCTGAACTCTCAACTATATAAATATACATATAATGCGCCGGCGGTGCGCATGGAGATAAGCTACGCATCGCCAAGTTTCTACGACCTCCCCGCCGCCGCTGCCGTTGCTTCAACCATGCCGTCCTCCGCGACCGGCGCACGTCCTGTAAGGATCATTCCTCTTCAGCATCCGACCGCCACCTCGTCCTCGTCTCCGCCGGCGAACGTCGCCTTCGCGCGGTGGACCGCGAAGCTCAGGCAGATGACGTGGCTCGAGTGGCTTGAGTTCTTCCTCCCTTGCCTACGCTGGATTCGCATCTATAAATGGCGCGAGTATTTCCAGGTCGATCTCATGGCCGGAATCACCGTCGGTGTCATGCTCGTTCCTCAGGTAGTCTATAGATGCTTGTTTTCTGTGTATTGAATTTTGAATTGCTAGCTCGTTGTGTAGTTTTGAGATAATCGATGTTTGTTTTTGTTAATTGTTGATGCAGTCGATGTCGTATGCAAAATTGGCCGGACTTGAACCGATATATGGACTCTGTAAGATTACTGAACTTCCGTGCTCTGGATGAATCTTTTGGATTGTTTATTTATACTTAAGGACAATTCCGTGTTTAATTGTCTTCTGAATTTGCAGTGTTCTAATTCTTTCTTTTTTTCCTGATATGATTTTGATTAACTTTTGACTTTTCGGGTAAAGCAATTTCCCACATTGTATTGCTAAAAGTTTGAAGAGTGAAGTTTGGTGTGAGATTTAGAAGAGTCTTATCTCTCATTGTTCTAAGCAACCATGCTGTTCTTGCCAATTTGAATGTCGATAGAATTCTATCCTTTCGCCCTCACCAGTTATCTGTTAGTTTAAAATTGTTTATTCTACATTTTCATTGATACTTCTATGTGCCATCAACGTTTTTCATCCTGAAATTTTTGTGTAATGTCTGCTTATTAATGTTATTTCTCTTTGCAAGGAAGACTCTGGTTTTGTGCCTATATTTGTGTATGCCATATTCGGGTCTTCTCGCCAGCTTGCAGTAGGCCCAGTGGCATTGGTTTCCCTCTTGGTATCTAACGTGCTAAGTGGCATAGCTGACTCGTCCAGTGAATTATACACAGAGCTTGCAATATTACTGTCCCTTATGGTGGGGATAATGGAGTGTATAATGGGACTATTGAGGTATTCTCGCCATTGCTTATTTATCAATATAGATATACGTTCTTAACTTGGCTAGGAAACCTTGCATGAATTTTTCCTTCCTTGTTCTTTCTCTTTCACGCATCTAAAACTCTAACTAGATATATAAGTCTATTTTGTTTGGTGTGTTCATGCATCTAGACATATAAATGTGATTAAATGATTATTTGGTATGCCTATAGACATGCTTGCTTTAACGCCATGGTAAGTTACTAGCTGACTGCTTTATAACAAGAGGAGAGATTGGACTCCGGTAGCAGTTATATGATTCTGCAGGCTAAGCACTAGGCATCGGGTCTGACTTTTTATGAAAGGGATTTAAATCATAACATATATATACTTGTATTTTGGGTATTTCAGGCTTGGATGGCTTATTCGTTTCATTAGCCATTCAGTGATTTCTGGCTTTACAACTTCTTCTGCTATTGTCATTGGTTTATCTCAAGCTAAGTATTTCTTGGGGTATGATGTAGACAGAAGTAGCAAGATCATTCCAGTAGTTAAGAGTATAATAGATGGAGCAGATAAGGTGTGTATTTCATTTGAAATTTGAATTATTCAGTGGAACTTTTTACAAGTGTTTATGGCTTGCTTGCAATTTTTATGGTAAAAAGTTGTGCTTAACGTACTGTTACAGAGAATTAATTCTTTTGCTTCTTTTTAATTTTTAACCTTGACTACATGTTACATGTACTTATAGATGCTGCTGATAAGTGAGAACTAAATCATGTAGGAAACCAACAAAATTAGGATTAAATTCGACGAAAGTTAGTTTTGTAGAGAAAATGGTGAACTGTCCAGTACTTGTTGAATTGAAATTTTGGGTTTGATGGGGTCTTGGAGTCTGCACAAGGAAGGATGATGATTTTT